CGCTGTGAGACACATGTTTTAACTTTCATATACCTCTGAATCCTTTAGTGAAACCGTTTCAGGGTTTAAGACAATCAGAAAATAGGTTTTTCTCCTTCAACATGGATTTTACTAGTGTTTCTTCCTGATTGAGCAGTGAGAGAATATAAGTCCTCTGAAGTGTTGAGGATTAGCACCTTTATTAGAACCTAATACTACTGTAAAACTGTTATTTGATGATGTTAGTAAAATCTGACCACTAAAGTGGCATTTCTCTTTTCATTATCTGTTTAACTAGATAAGGGGGAAAAATTAGACTAAAGGATAAAAACGGATCAAAGCATCAGCTTAGGTTTCTTTGAGATCTCAAACTATTTTGGGAACTTAGTCCAAAAATAGTGACTTGAAAGGGAATCATCAGGGACGTGCAGCTTATTTCTGCGTCCATCCATTACATCTCCTGAAAATGGAGAAAAAAGAGGAAAGTAAAAAGACCTTGACAGAGAGAATAAAGGAAGCTGACAGCACATATATGAAAACTGTATTGTTCATCGCTAGTCAGATAAACAGAAGGGGAAACTATAGAGATGGACACACAGGGAGAGGAAGGAGGCGATTGTAGAATCCAGTCTTTGTTCTTCTGCAGGCTGCTGTGTGGACGACGGACCCACACATATGTCAGTGCTGCCATAACTCATCATCATCCCACAGAAAGGAAAGAGACAGTTTGTTGTTATTGCCACAACTCGAATAGCAACACAGTTGAGTGCATTGGGGCAAAGTGGGGTTCTTTATGCACTTACAGATACCACACCAGGGAAACTTTAATTCTATAAACACCGCCATTATGGTTGATATTTTATACCCTGTGAGACTTTAAAGTATGTTGCTTAATGCTTGTACAAATTCTCAGCCACAAAACAAGCTTAAACGGAAGGCAGCCATTCTTTCACATGGGCCTGCCTCCAATTTAAGCCTATTTGGTGGTGATAACATTTATAGTATGGGTCTGTATTTCCTTTGTGTACAGTTACTCTGGTTGGGTATTGGTTTGACATTTTGCAGGGGCTGCTGATATCTGCTCGGTCACGGCCCAAAGCCTTACTAAAGATAGATGAGAGATAGATACATCCGAGTGGATTTCTGGACTCGTCCACTCACGCTGCATATGACACGGTCAGCAGCTGAGGGGCTGGTTGTTGCCCGTATGTGTGAGCTTCTTCTGCTGCACAGGGCAGCCTCCGTGGGGCATATTCTGTTTTTAACTCCCCATCCACACCCCTCACAGATAGGGAGAGAAACTGAGACTGGGCCTGTCCGAATACATTACACTAACCATTTGGAGAATAGTGAAAAATTTCCGGGAAAAGAAAGTGGGACACATATATAAGCAGTGCAGTTTCCACTTTGTAATACGGTGTGGAATAAACACTGCTTTTCTTTGAAGCATACAGGAAAAACTATCCATCCATTTTCCATCATGCTTTATCCCTGCTGGGGTCACGAGGGGTGCTGGTGCCTATCTAGACAGGTTGCCAGTCTATCAAAGGACTAGAAAAAACAGCAAAATTAAAAAAAATATATTTTTTATCTATTCTAAACACAAGGTTAAGTTTGACCCAAAAAATAATTGATTTAAATGAATAACTTGGATCTCATTAAAACAAGCTTTGTTTGGACAAATGCCCGCAGCTATATTTATATTTCTTACTATAAATCTTTGAAGCCTAAATACTAAGATTTCCCTTAAATTTACCCCACAGTAAATTGCGGCTGATTAAAAAGATCTTGTGAATAAGGTATCCAAAGCTGGTTAAAAAGTGACATCTTTTACACTGAAATAAGTCCTGTTTCAAAAAGGGCTGACATGCTTTCTTTAAAGAAGAAGAAACACTACAGTAGAAACCAAACAAAGAAAAAAATAAACAGAAAAAAGATGCTTGTAAATTAGAGGTGTACAAAAAATATTTACTTATAATTAATTGTTGATTTGTGGTTTATTAGATTAAGATTTATTCCATCCGATTAATTGATAGTGTCAGCTCAAGGAATTTCTTTTAGTGATGTACTGTTATCGTCCACTAGAGGACACTGCTGTTCATTGAAAGGGTGATGAACAGCTAATACCTGCTGTTACGCGGTATTAGCAAGAGAAGAAATGCAAGGTTAGAGGCATGCAACAGCAGAAATTGAAGAACAAATTCAATTTATTCAATAGTCTGGTTTAGGATTATTTAAAGTTTTATTGCAACCAGGATGCCAAACAGGCCAGATGGTAGCATGCATCGCAAATGGCATTAACAATTTAACAGTTGAGGTTAGAAATGTTGCGACTTTTATTAATTTATCGATAATTTATTGAATTTGTGGCAGTTTTGGATTTCCATACATGATCCAGTTGCAATTGATACCATTTATGTGTGACATGTTCGGAATTGAGCAAAAAAATGTAATGGTCAAAATCTTTCTTAAGCAGTTTAGTCTGCACAGCACGATTGTCTATTTATTCACCTTCACCGTAGCAAATAGACATGCCTGGTCCCATCAGTCAAATTCAAAACACTGCAACCTCTTACCAATATTTATGGTCCGTTCTATTTAGGGCTATAACTTCATCAAGCAAAGATAGACAACAACTCCTTGACAGAAACCTCTGAGTTTTTTTATGCCATCAGTGCACTTACAAGTTGTGACTTTGTGCACATAGATTTTCTGCAGATGAGAACAAATTAAAGTTAAGCTGTTACTGCGGCTTAAGGCCCGTTCCTCAGTTGAAAGCCACTGTACTATTTCTATGTTAAACTGATGGACCCACTGCCTGACCCAGGACAGAGAGAAACTTTAGGTTCTGTAAAGTCTGTCCTGAAGCGCGCCTAATGTATAATAGCTTGATAAAATTTAAAGATTGTACGTCACAAGGGAAGAGGAGGGGGGAGGGTGTACTTCCCCATTGCTGCAGTGGATAATCAATAGACCGTAATATTTGGAAAAGATTATATGTAACCAAACCAAAACTGTGGAAAAACTATTATTTTTGACTAAAAATGGCTAACACCTTTCATTTTGCTTATCATTGCCTGATTTGCACAAATACTGCTTGAGCTTATGTCACTAAAATGACAGAAAAACAGTGTACCTTAAAATATTGTTCTTTTCTAAGACATTTTATGCACACGAAAAACATTAGAAAAGATTTTATTATACACACCAATCATAAACAATTCAAAGGAACTTAAATGTAAAAAAAAAAAAAATTGCAATTATATTGCTAACTGTAGTTCCGCACTCCACCAGTAGGTGGTGACATGTTAACATTAAGTTTGATGAACTGTGGAGATCGTTGAAGCAATTTGCCCAAACGGTTTAACACCTCATTAGGCTTCATCTCACCATCACTACCTAACACAATGACACATGAGGGTAACATATTCAGTGTTTTGGCCAAACCAAAAACAAAAACAGCGGAAAACAAGATGGCTGACAATTAAATAAGGGAAACATTTAAACTAACTAAACACAAATCCCTCCCAAAGTTTACTGGTACATCTTAGGTCATTTGTTCCTCAGGAAAGAGGCTCATCCCCCACCATGGCAACTCAAACAAAGGAAAGAAATGTTAACAAAAGAAAATACCTTCCATTACTGGTATGTGTGCACTCCATAACAGCGGTGCTAGATAAGCCAAATTATAAAATTTTCAAAAATGAAGGTCAATGTAATAACAAAAAACTGTAATTTGACCTAATATTTTTAAAAAATGACATCTCGCAATTCACAATGTGAATATCTATAACAAATTCACATTTTGTAAAATTCACTTTTTTTGTAAATAACCTTAGATTATAATTGCTGACTCACATTTTTTAACATAACTTATAACATAACATATACATATATTATATAAACTATTTAAATCTATCAAACCTTTGTGTTGATTCTGAATAAATATGTGTAATGTTAACTGAAAGGTCATTATGAAATTTGTTTTGGTCTTTCAAGGGGTTGTGACATGTGAGTGATTATTATAATATTATCTTTGACTTGTCTTCTATGTGATTAAAATAAGATCTGAGGTGCCTCCTAGTCATTCTGACAGCAGCTGTTTCAATTATGGTCTGATTGTAAAAGGCTGGTGTGAGGTATCATAATATTAGATCCAAATACAATTGCTTTATAAAGCATATTCAAAAATAACAGATACAGGCTGTTTGTTATAATTTTATGTGATTTTTAAAAGTAAAACAGCAACAAATAACCCTGATATTACCACACACAAATAATGCTGAACAGAGTGGAGAGGTAGACTGTAGACACTAATTTTCCCTTTATAATTGTACTAGTCAGCTTCCGTAGGAGCGATTTGTCTCATTAACTCATCCCTTGTTAATTCAGGCTTGGTTATTCTAACAACACTGGGCTCACTAGGGGTGGGCTTTGTCTCACATAATCAATGTTTTTGCACAAATCTCTACCCTCCAGTGTACAATTTCACCTCATTGCATCAAGTGGACTTGAGGTTGAGTTTCCCATCACACTCTCTGCAGCAGCCCCCACCCCATGCAACTGTCCTGCACAGCGTAGGAGGAAGAGACACTTAAGTGTAGGGAAAGAGGGGAAAGAGCTTGATGAAAGGAACAGAAAGTGGAGAGCCATGGAGAGTTGACAAGCATGAAGAAATGGTGTTTTAAGGAGGGAATGAAGGAAGTGTTCCAGTCAGGTGTGTGTGGGTGTATTTTAATAGTGTCTTTTTTTTTATTATTTTAGATCACTGACTGCTTAAGGTATACTCAGTGCATGAGTATTCTGTACTTTTAATTTGTTTATAAAGGCTTACAGTCAGTTGTCAAAAGTCCAAAATAAAAAAAATATTGATTTAAAAACTTTTATACACATACTTTATAAAAACTCGACATAGAATAAATATCTGAAGAGACATTTGCTGTTGAATGTCTCTGAAATTTTCAGCCCAGTTTATTTATTTGCTGCAGTAATGAATGTTTTTCTTATTTTTTGTGTTTCAGACACTGAAGCAGAGAGGAATGCACTAAAAGAGCACGTCTACCCCAAACTGCGTGACTTCTGCAGGGAAAACTATGGCATTGAATTCCAAGTAAGGGGTTGCATTTTTTTTTTATGTCTTGTTTTGTTTTTTTGTTGTTGTTTTTTCTTTTTTGGTTGTTTTTCCCTTGAACTATCAAAGTTTCTCATAGTTGCCTGCAAATATGCACACACCTTATGTCTATTAGATGCTGTTCGGAAGGGTTAGAGGCTGGAACCTAACGTCTGTTTCTCTATAAGGGGACACAGAAGGCTGGCAAAGATAAGGCTCCCATTGGTGAAGTTTGGTGCACATGTAGATGATGATAAGGCAGGGTGAAACGAGGGCTTTTCCTTTGTTGTTGTTGTTGTCGTCAGAGAGCGAGCGCTTCCTGCGGCGTTTCACTGATCAAGATTGTTTGTATTGCAAATCCACGGACGTAAGGAGATTACCTTTAGAGGTTTGTTTGTTTAACAAATCCAGCAGAGCCCTTTGAATGGGAGGTTCTGACACACAGGAGAGGGTTTCTGGACAGCTTAATGATATTTCATTACTGATGCAGGGAAATCTCTGACAGCGGTCACCTGATTCTCTGCCTAATGAGGCTGTCTGGATCACAAACAGCTTTAAACAGACCAGTTAAAGCCTGACTGTTTCAAACACTGTAATTACACAGGGACAGGTCTGAGTGCTACATGCTGAGGCTTTTTTATATATTTTACAGCCTCTCATAGTTACATCTCTTCCACACAAAAACATATTAACAGAAATTCACCTGTTTTATTACAAAGCTAATTATTTCAGTATTTATCACTGGTTTATATAAACATTTAACTTTACATTATCAGACATTAACAGTAACATTTTATATTTTTTTCCCAAAGCAGAAATAGGCAGTTTTTGTATTTATTTTTTCTTTCTTTTCCTATTTGCCACATATTATAGTTGTTTAAGGTTTTTATATACTTTATCTCTACACATCAGAACATAACTGCTCCAAGTGTGGAGAAGTATGGAATTTGTATTGATCAATTCATATTTTAAATGTCTCTGATAAGTTCATAACAAATGTTCCGTATTTAAATTCAGTGAATCCATCCTAATTATTGAAAAAGGTAAATAAAAACTCATCAACTTATCTTTTACATATTGCTCAGCCATTCTTATTGTGAAATGCATATATGTCAGGTTTCAGTCATGTTAATACCAAGGTTAGAGTCTTCAACCTGTTGAAATGTTTAGATTGCAAAAATAAGACTTAATGTTCTGCTTGCACATGCCTATAACTAATATAAAAATGTGACTCAGAAGCAGACCGATCTCCATAGGATATTCATCTTCTTTACGGAATCTTTTTATGCATCCTTTTCTCCATCAACTACATTTTTTTTCAACATCTTAACATCTATTATATGTAGCTAACTTTGAGTCATCCTCATCTAAAAATATTCTGCTCCAAGCTCTGATATTACTGATGTCACTATCACCAACTTGGCATTTAGAAACAGTTCCTATTAAGAGCTTCTTTAACACAGTGTATTTTATTTTGAAGGAAAAAGGATTTAGTTTTATCTTTTTGCAAATAACATTTGTTTACTGTTTTTGTAGTGAATTGTCTTTACTCTGATGCCCCTAAATTCAATCCGGTGTAACTAGTTGTCAGAATCCATCTAATTATTAGATTGTTGCTTGAATAGAAAAATGAAGGAAAGCTGGAAAAAGTGCAGCTTGTAATTTGTAATTACACAGCATCCTGAATCACAGGAAATGCACCATCCTCAAAGCACGATGCTGGTAGGATTATGCTGGGCAAAAATTATATCTTGCAGCTACAATGGGGTCTATGCTTGACTCCACTATTTCTCTAACTTAAAGAAGCTCCTTTATTTCCTTTCTTTCATTACTGGATTAGCTAAATGTGTCTTGCCTTGGTGTCTTGCCTTGGTTGTCATGGTTACTGGCAGAGATGGGAAGTAACGAAGTACAAATACTTCGTTACTGTACTCAAGTAGATTTTTCTGATATTTTTACTTTACTTTACTACTTATTTTTATGGCGACTTTATTTCTACTCCTTACATTTTTACACAAATATCTGTACTTTCTACTCCTTATATTTTAAAAAAATGGCTCGTTACTTTAGTTTTGAATCATTTCAATGGAGTTACCGTTATTATTTTTCACGTCATCAATACCAAATTCAATCTAATTGGATGGGAATCTACGTTGCATTTGACGCACCACTACAAGATGAATCGACAGATTCGGCGGTATTCATTGGCGGCAAATCATTGCAGCTTGGTGGCGGTGGCGTTAGCATAGTAGTATGGACGACGAGATGATTGAAAATGAACACAACGGAGATCTAGTCCTATTGGCAGACATCCATTTAAAATGTAGGCAACGGCATGAAAAATATGGTTTCTACTTTTACTTTTATACTTTAAGTAAATTTACAAGCCTGTACTTTGTTACTTTTACTTGAGTAAAGAATTTTAATCAGTACTTCCACTTTTACCAGAGTATTTTTTAACACAAGTATCTGTACTTTTACTCAAGTACGGAAAGTGAGTACTTTTGCCATCTCTGGTTACTGGGATCAGCCACACCTGGATTAGTCAGTTCATCCAGGAGAGATAGACAGGAAACCATGGCTGTGTCTGAACGTCCGCTCTAACCCCTAAATCCCTCAATCACTATATAGGGTGGCCAATAATTGTGGGACACATAATTTCACATTTTTTGTTTTCTAAATGTATGATTTTATTTTTACCACCAACGTAATGTGCTTAAATAAAAGGCTGTATTTTTCTCTTTTTTTTTTGCATTTTATTATCTATTTATTATCTTTTTTTTTTTGCTTTTCTTTGTTGTTTAAAAAAAAAAAAAGTAGAATTTTTTTGAAGTCCTCGAAAACATCTTAAACAGGGATGCCAATAATTGTGGAGGGCACTGTATCTGCTCATCTAGTGACCATGGATGATCACTACTTTAAACGTGCATTGTGGGGAAACTTCTAGTCCACTACTTTTTCATCTACCAGATGTTTGGACCCTCATTATTCCACTATATAGTACCCTATATCATGATTAGGGTAGACATTCAGACAGAGCCCAAGAAGCTTCTTTAAGTTGAAGATGTAGTGGAGTCATGCACAGAGCCCATTGTTGCACTAATTGACAGCTGAAGTAACTGAATACCTATGTGGGGCACATTTCTATCTGTATTCATACCACAGAAAATCCAATTAAAGCTTGTTTTATTTTTAAGAAACAAAAATCAAAAATATTGTAAATAGTTTTGTAATTCTGTCTATGATGCATTAAGTACCTAGTTATAAGAACTAAACAAAGAAGTAAAGTTCTTTAGCAACCAGAGCAACCAGTACTTGACTTTATTTTTTTAAGAACATCGTAGCTTTAGCTTACATTTTTTAAGGCAGATTAACCTCCAGTTTGAACCTTTGGCAGCCTCTTGTGGTGCTACACACCTTCCGTAAACAAGAAAATTGGAGTCTATAACATAAACGATAGGGGGAATCTTTGAACCACGTGTCTGTCTGGTGATTCAGCTGCTTGAGATGAAGAGTGAGCTAAAATGATTATGCGGAAGACCTGGAAGTTAATACTGTGACTCACTTGCATTACTCTTCCTCCTCCCCGTTTTTCTTCTCCTCCTCCTCATCCTTACTTTCTCCATATGAGATTTGCCTCTTTGGCTGGAATCACCTTTGCACTGTTGCTCGCTGATGAAGCGTGCCAATATGTGTGACTACGTTTGGCTCATGAATCATTTGCTGTGTTAAATCCTTTATGATTTCCATGCTGTGGATTCTTCGCCTAGCTGAACCATTTTTTTTTTCTTTGTTGGATTTGTAATTTACGAGTGGTTGTGCCTTCTATTTTTCACATTCACTCTCTCCCCAATGCTCACAGATGCTTCTGCACATCCCCTGACACACATATGCCATAGCTGCTGCCGAACACCAACCCTCCCAAGTCCCTCGTCATTTGACTCAGTTTCCATACGGAGCATTCCCCTAACAGGATGAAGCAGGATTGCACGAGATGAATCGCAGTGAAATGGGTCACAGAAATCCAGCCCAGAGGCCGAGGGTAGCGTCCTCATTCAGTCAGAGCACGACTTCCTGACTCCTCTTTACCAATTTTATTCCCTAGTATCTGGCTCCTTTCATCGTTTTGATTAGCCTCTTGTGTACTTGCTTTCCATAAACACATTAAATACTGAACTAGGTGTGGACAGAAACTGCTAATAGTAGAGAATTGAAAGAAAAAACAGAAGGATAGACAAGATGGTTTCATGTTCACAGTGGATGTTGGCTTATCTTGCATTAAGTCTACAAAAAGCATTTATCAATCTGATCATGGAATTCATGGTAAGGTCGCAGGTTTTGAGTGGCACAGAGTAATAGCTGCTTAAAAAAACCTAAGACCTAACAGGGATCTCTGCAAATAGCCACCAATTAAGTTGATAGGGAGACACATGTTGTGTTTAAATCATCTAAGGCGAAAGAAGTGTTTTTGACACCACACAGACACTGAGAGCAGCTATTTGCAGGGCCAAATTACAAGAATTACTGTCTGTTTCCACCACGGCTGCTTGTTATTTTGAAAGAGGCCTAATTGTCATTCCAGTTTTACTTTCCAACAGTTCAGGTTGGATTGTATTTTTCTATTAAATACTTTTCAGGTTGACGTATTGTATCCATATAAGCAGTTCACGGAATTATTGTAAGCTATTCATTTCTAGAGCATCTCTTCATAACTATAAGAAAAGCAACAATTACATAAGTAATGATAAAATACATTCTATGTAAACAGCAATAAGTACAACAGTAAAAGATGTTAATATTTAAAACAACACTGTGTAACTTCTGGCCCAAGTAAAGTTTTATTTTGAGACATCTATATCAGGTTGATATAGAGGACGTGCAGCTGACGTCAGATAATCACATGAAACCTGCAGATAAACAAAACCGCGTATACAGAAGGCAAGATAAGCAACTAGTTTTCATCCATATTACATTAAAAACACTAACAAAACAATGGTAAA